AGTAAGGTGTTCTTGCCATAGATCAAATGGGTAAAGTTTTGTTTATTTTGTTGCTGAAATATCCAAAGTTTTTTGAAGAAGGAAGAGTAAACAAGTAGGGGAGGCCTCTGCCTTCAGGGAGTTATGTTTTTAAGGAAAGTATGTAAACTTTATTATCAAAAATAAAGAAATATTTTGAGAACGTCTGTTTTTTGGGTTGGCAAAGGGATTAGCGGAAAGAGTTTTTTTTAATAATTTGCTTTTATATTATATTATATTTTTAATTTTAACTTTACTTAATAAAAGCTTAAGAAAAAAATCAAACAAAAATTTCTTACTATTGTAATCAATATAATAGATTACTTGTTAATAGATTGAACTAAATTTTCTTATAGATATTAGAAATTTAAAAAAAAAGTCAAAACAAAATAAGAATTTATATTTTAATACAGAATAAGAAATATTTAACAAAATCAAATTATATCTTTAGGTAATAATCAAAAAAGTCTAATATAAAATTATAATAATAGACCTGTAGGTCCATAGCACAGTGGTTAGTGCTCCATAGGTCAGATCACAAGATACTGATTTAACCTTAGGTAAAGATGGTTGAATAAAATTAATATGATATCTGGTACCGTAATCAATCATATGCTATTTCTTATAAGAAATCATTTATATGCCGATCCAGTAAAACATTAAGATTGTGATTTCCCGTTAAGGTGTTTTGGTGTAACAATCATCCGGTTGGTATATGATGATCGTTGTAAAGTCGCTTCATATATAGGTTATATAGACTCCCTGTGTATATCATATTCAATAGGCTGAATTCGACTTATTCCAGGATTTTCTAGTTTGGAGCTATCCCAATCTGGTGCTTACTTAAAAGAAGTGAATCTTTGAAAAAGGATCTACTGAAGCCGCAGGTGGTAACAAGGAGCAAATATCCTTTCCGAGAATCCAAACGAAAAGTATCAGGGTGTCTGAAAATCCAATAACCAAATCTCTATAGGATAGACATAGCTCTTAAAAACCAGATTATAGGTTAGGTGGTTTAAACTAGTGGTAGGCATTCCTCCCCTATAGAAATCCCATCCGATATGTTGGATCCACCTTTGGTGTATAATTCTTATAGTTGAATTAAAAAGATGAATGGTAAGCTGATATGTCAAAGTATTAGGCAATGTTGATTTACAATTATAGACTACATAATCGGTACAAACTGTACAATTTCCAATTGTAAAAGAACACTTGATATAATTCAAGTTATGCAAATATCAATAAAGATTTGCATCATTGCACATTTATCTATAAAAAAAAAAAATTATAATAATTTTTATAATAATATTTTTAATAACAATATTTTTAATAATAATATTTTTAATAACAATATTTCTAATGATAATAATATAACTTTTGATAAATTAGACCTGTAGATCCATAGCATAATGATAGTACTCCACAGATTATATTACAAGATATTAGTTCAATTCCATATAAAAACAATTGAATAGATTAATATAATATCCAGCACCATAACCAATTACATGCTGTTTCTTATAAAAAGCTATTTTATATGCTGATCCAATAGATATTGAGATTGTAATCTTCCTATTAAGATGTAGTGTAAGAGTGTGTAACGGCGAGTCAGTCGCTAACGGATAGTCGACTTCGCGTAACGGTCGTGCTAGACTCGCCGAATGATTTGGATAATGGTGAGGCGTTGGATTTGGCCAAGGTAAGTATTTTCTTTATTAAATTGTATCCTCCAACTCCCTTACATGATTACTTTTTGTCAGCTAATTTATATATTTTTCTCAAGAAAGGTTTCGAAACTTTTAGAAAGATTAAGAAAAGGTAAGAAATTCTCATATTTTCTCTCGCTAATTACATAATATGACACTAATTACATCATTATTACTCGTATGTTTCTGTCTGTTTCACTCTCTACTTCTTCGATGCGATACTGGGTTGATCGTCGGTCACGTGACCAGAATCGCGTTGCCCTGCATTTTCCTACCCTCTTACAATTCCCCCACGCTTATCTTATGCGTCCCACGCATTAAGATTCAGTTAGGTGAGTCGTTCGTGATTTGTTTAGTGATGGCCGGTTATTATCTGTTGGGTCGTCGGTTGATGGTCATTGATCGTCTTCTCCTTCCACTTGTGCTTGATCTTGCAATTCGTTGCGCAGACGATGTCAGTAGGATTCAGGGTAAGGTGTTGGTACGGCATGGCTTCTTTCGTGTCTTCGTTATGATGTTGTCGCTTGTTGCCCGATCTTCTTGTTGCAGTTTCCGTCTATGGTGATGATATGACCTGGTGTGGTGGGTGTCGTGTCGTCGGCATATTTCGGATCTTATCCCTAGTATCCGTTTTTTCCTCTTTTTGCGCCTGGTTGGATCGCGGTAGGTCTTGATGCAATTTGTGATAAACTGTTGATGACGTTGCTTCTTCTTTCTTTTTCGTCTGATGACCTTTTGGTCCCATCTGATCGAGGTCGCATTACGTGGTCTTTGCGTTTCTCCGGGTAACGTTGTCGGATTCGTCGTTATAGCTTCTTTCATCTTTCGTCGCCATCGTCCATCTGTTCGAGGTTTCATCTCTCCACTCGTCGGGTGGTCTTCTCTTCGGTTCATTTTGTCTAACTCATCCCTTCTTCCATTGGTTCTGCCAGGCTCCGTGTCATTTCGCGCGATGTCGTGTCCTCCTCCCTGATCGCGATCATCTGTGCTGGTCGGTCGCTCTCTTCCATTGTAGGGGTTGTCTGGTAAGTTTAGTAACGTGTTTGACTCCTCATCATCTAGGTGCTCGTCGTTTCTGAAGGGGTATTGGGGCTCCTTGTACTCTTGTCGTTCCTTAGGGTTCGTCGCGGATTTTCTATTCCTTGCGTCGTCATCCCTTTTGGTCATTATCCCAATACTTTCGTTCACGGCTTGATCACAGGTAAGTGCCAAAGTTTTGTCCATTGATTCCGTCGGCATATTAAAGTATTCTTCTAATATTTCCATAGGGTAGTCGGTCATTGTTTTTTCCAGCTGATCAGTCGTGCTGCCTTGTTCTGTCGCTGTTTCGTCGCAGTGGGGTCTTCGTGTTGCGTCCATTGGTTCTCCCGTTGTGTCGTCATCTTCCTTCTTTTCCGTTACGACACTATTGCTTGTCAGAGCTTCATCGTAAGTGAGTTTCGGCGTTACGTCAGGTGGTCCTGCTGTCGTTTCCTCATTAAAATATTCTTCCAGGATCTCGCTCGGGTACTCGTCCGCTGTTTCTTCCGGGGGTTCCCTCTTTTTTCGCAGGTCGCATCCCATCCCTTTGTTGTGGCGCTTTCCGTGGTTCGAGTCTCTCGACGAACGTCCCAGTTCTCCATCCTCATCAAGTTGCGTCCTTTTTGTCCCAGCCGACCCTTGGGGAAACTTGTCCTCCCTTGGACAATTTCCGGCGTTGTGGTCTCTCCCTGAGTCTCCACAACCCAAATCCTTTCCCGACGGCGTCTCTGGTTCACTCGCGCTTCCTTCAGCGAGGACGGCAGGTTTGTTTGACTTCGTCCCTAATCCTCGTACCTGTTTCATTAGTCCTTGGATGCGGGCCTCTAACTCTCTTGTTCGGTCTATTTCTCGTTCGATCTTTACTGCTTCTTTGAGTGCTTCTCCCGGCGTGGTCGCGTTCCCGACGGTTGGTTGCGTCAGTATATCTTCCCTTAGTCCAAACACCAGCAACCAATGTGCCGCTACCTTGACATAATCGCCCTTTGGGTGGAGCTTTTCGAGTAGCTTCGCAAACCTACGGGCGTATTCCATCACCTTTTCGTTCTTGCCTACTGGAACGACGAATGCGACAAGGAATGGAGCTTCGTGCCAGCATTCGTACAGCATTTTGAAACGCTGGAGCAACGCCGCCGATGGCAAGAAGAATTGGAAACCATTCAGCAAGGCAAGAACGAAAAGGTGATGGAATACGCCCGGAGGTTTGCGAAGCTACTCGAA